AGACCGGCAGCAGCAAGCAGCAAACCGGAGGCTGCAGAGGCGGGCAAAGTGCCCTCCCCCTGCCCCCCAGTTCCCCGTGGCTTGGGGTTTTCGCGGTCTCCCCTGCTGGAGCCGGGGCCGCCAGGAGCCAAGAGCGTTAGGTTCAAATGCATCAAGGCTCTGAAGTCATTTATCCGGTTTCATAAATAATTTTCTTATTACACTTAAGCCTGATTCCTGCCCCCTTCCCGTTTTTATTGCGGGGTTTCAGCGGCTAAAAAGTTTCTAAGTCGGGTGGGCTGTTGTTTTCCTTTTTCCATCATTAACATCATTAATATAAGCTATCAATAACCCTGTCGTTGGGAGCCGAGTTTCACGGTATTGATCCACGCAGCTATTCATCTCTGCCATGCAAGACACGGAATAATTTTCGCATTACAGTAGCTTGGATTTGCTTTTAATTCATATTTAAAGCTGCAACCGGCTCAGTGGAGCGCTCTGCGAAAGACTAGAGGCGCCTAATTAATAATAAGTTAGAAACGAAGGAAGGCACCGGCGAATAAATAATTAATACAGACATCTATGTCTCTTTGAATATTGCTCCTTTAAAAATTTAGACTTACCAGGACCATACTGTAAGTCTGCAATTTATATTGCGGGGATGATTTAAGAAAGCTATTTTTTTCCTTGAAATACAATACTAAATTATTTACAGTGTTTTGCAAACCTAAGTTCCTTCATTAGCCAGCCCCTCCGGTTTATTCCTTCCAGGTGGAAAACACCAATTTTTAAAAACAATCATAATAAGAACCATAACCTCCCAACAAGAACTCCTAGCTGAGATTAGCTGTGGGTTGCTGGGTTGGGGACAGAACACTGGGGAGAAAGGAATGAAGGGACCTCCTGCTCTGGGAGGGTGCTAGGGGCTTCTATAAAGGGGGTGTTGTTAGAGAAGGAAAAACAGCAAAACCTGAGATCATTGGCCAGTAATCTGGGGCACTCGCTGGTTCTGGGAAGGACAAAGTTTGAGTTCAATTCAGGATGCTCAAATGAATAGAATCTGAAGGGATCCAGGTTTCCCTTACGGGAAAATAAAATGTTTTTAAAATAAAAAAAAATGGAATTTTTAGAGAATGACTCTTGAAAACTAAGATTGGATTCCCAAGCCATCCAGAAACGACCAGTTGGGTTAGAGAGAAATAACAAAATCTGAGGGGGAAGGAGTGACTGAAAATCGGAGAAGGTTTTTGCGTGAGAGAGACCAGGATTTGTTTGCAATGTTGTTAGCGATATTGATTTTTTTGTTACTTGGATTAATGTATGTTAAACAGGAAAATACAGGCATTAGTCAAATACGTTATCATCATCTATTGTCGAGAGGGAAGTTTCTCAGGTGGGTGACAGAGACTCCATGCTTTGAGGCAATTTTAGAGATGTCAGAGTGTTCCAGGCTCAAACTGGGACAACTGACGCCGGGGTTGGGCTGGCGTTGGGCTGCTGGTGTAGGAGGAGGTGGCTTTGCCTGCAGCTCACTCCCCATCTCCCCCTCTCAGAATTACAGCCTCCTTTTAACCCACTATCCACAACCCACTGTGGGTGCATCAGCCACCCTTGGACCTCCGTGCCGAGCTAAATGATTAGAGGATGAGGCCTTCTTGACCACTGGGGTCCCCCAAATTTCTTCACCCCACTTGTCAATCTTCCCCCACATCTCCACCTCCAGGTCTCTTGGCCCAGTGACCTTCCTTCCAACCCTCTAGCGCCCCAATGTAGGTCTGGGGGCTCCTGCAGCTCAGCGTTGGTGGCCTGAGTACCAGGTGTGGTGCACATACACAGGCACGCACCCACACACATGTACCCACACTGGTTAGGCCTGAAAAAGCCGCGGGCTGGAGAGGAAAGCGCAGGAGCGGCTATTCAGCATCAAAGGGAGACCGGCCTCCCACCTCTGGACCCGGAGAAGCATTAATGAAAGAAGACAGTCCTCCGGAAGCCGGCAGCTGGGACGCCCTTCCTTCCCGCGTCCTGCCCAAGACTAACCTCCCATCCCGCCTTGGCATGCTGCGGACCAGGGACCTAGGCTTTCCTTTCAACCCCCTTCTGTAACCAGGTACACTCATTTATGGGGCCAGACCCCGACGCACAGACCCTGCTGAAGGCTTCTCCGGAGAGCCACAAAACCTAAAAGGCACTCACATTACCCCTCAGGTCTTGGATGGGTTTAGGAACAAGGCGGGACGGGGAAGGGCGGAGGGAGATCTGGGCCTTTGGCAACCTGATAATCCCACTCCCGCCTGCCCCAGGGTCAAAGGGCAGGCGCCCTCCTGGGGGTCCAACAGCGGGAGGCAGATTTTTGTGCCAGCCACGGGGCGGGGGAGGGGGTGAACGGAAGGAGGAGATTGAGCTGCTGAAGGCCGCGGGCCGCCAGGTAAGAAAGCGCGAAGTGTGAGAGGAGTGAAGGGGGAAGGACAGGGAGGGTAAGAGGACGTTCAGCCAAAGGCCAGAGGAGAGCCTAGCCAGCCGGGAGGGAGGCGCAGCAAGAGGTGGGGAGCTCGGCAACCGGCGGGCGTTTCATTTTTAAATCTTCTAGGTGTCTGCGGGTCAAATAAAGACAAGGGCGGTAACGATTATTCTGTTAAATCTATGGTACTTGACTGCGCAAACACTAATTGATTAGACACCAAAATGATTTGTTTAAAGAGTTTTCCTTCCCACGTGCAGCTGCTCTTGGGTCTGGGTCTGCGTTACAGGCGAGGCTGCGGAGGGGTTGCCGGCTGGGCCTGGCACCTGCTCTGAGTCCGCAATCCGCCTTGGGGTGGCTGGTCCAATCCGTGGACCTTAAAGGCTCCCTGCTGGGCAGCCACCGGTGTGACTAGAGTCCCTCCAGGACGCCGGAGTGTGTCTGAGTCCCTCCAGGACGCCGGACTGTGCACCAGAAGACCATGAAGAGCCGACTTTGCCCTCCGCCGGCCTCCTCCGAGATTTCTGCACTTCTCATGGCTCAGGACTGCACAAGCACAAAAATGCTTTCTTCCTTCCTCCTGTTCTCGCCAGCCCCCAGCCTTGGCACGCTCTCCGTGGTGCACAGCTAATCCAGCTTGGAGACCCAAGTGGGGTGGCATTAACCGCCACCCCACTGAAAAATTAGCCGCCTCTATGGCCTGGGTGGGTCTCTTTTGCAATATGTGTGAACAATATAAAATTATGACCAGGAAAGAAAATCCAGTGAAGATCCAAGAGAGGAGGCCAACTTCCCCAGAATAAGGCTGGGGTGAGGACAGAGCCAGGTCTTGCGGCCAGTCTCCAGAGAGCCTCAAATCCTTGCCTCGGTCCTTCAGCATCAGGGCACCCCTTCTCCTGTCAAAGATCTTGCCTTGAAGCCCTGAAAAGCCCTTGCTGAAGTGAGTGATGGCCAGAACGGATTGCAACCCAGATAAGGCCGCCTCCAGTTTAGCCAAGAGCCCAGGAGAGCAAGCGGTTTTCTTCCTCAGCCCAGGAAGTAACCTGAGACGCTTGCAGAGCGATCTGGCTGGCAGCATCGAGGCTGCCCAGGCAGCCCTTGCCCTCGGCAGCCCCTAATAGCAGCCCCTAGGACCCCAGTCGACTGGAGCTGGCAGGAACTGACAGCCCTCCCACAGAGCATCTTCTCTTCAGATCTGGAGAGGCCAGGAGGAGATGAAAGAGGGAAGTGGAAAAATGCCGAGTTAAATATTTTCATGGACAAAAACCATAATTTACTAATAATCATTTAAAAAGTAAACCGAACAGATAAATAGAAGAGTGAAAGATGAAGAGGGCCAAAATACTGGTTACCATTTCTGGCCCCCAGAGGGTGAAGGGCAGTAACTAATTTTTAAAATGGTTTTCGATAGTAAATTATCAGTCTAAGCCAACAGCAGCTTTCTGCACATAATTTCTTTAGAAGTGGGAGGACTCCAAAGGAAGGCAGTGAGAGACTGGCAGGGAACGCACAGGACCAAACCCTCTACCTCTAGTATCACATGTGCTACAGTAGCCGGAGGCCAAATAAATAGTTCCTCACCAGGAGTTTAATTCTAAACCGGCTCCCAGTATCAGAAATGCTGTTGAGACAGCCTCCCTCCTCCTGGAGCCCTGGGTGGGAGAATCTGCCCTGACACCCAGGCTTGCTATTTGTAACAAGGCCAAGAAATGGGAATTAAACATTCGATGGCTTGGGATGGACAGAAGCATTTCTTTGGAACAGTCCTGGAAGCTGGAACTAGAACATTGTTACAACTCTACTACTCACAGAGAAGGAAAGCATTAACTCTGAAACCCATAGAAGGTTCCACGTAGCTAACATTTGGAGGAACTGCCTTACTCTTTTCTTTGCTAAACCTGGCAGGGTCACTGAGCAAGCACAAGAAGGATTGTACCTGCTCCCCCTTCTCTGATATTTGCAAAACAAACATTCTGAAATCTTTGCTTCTACACTGAAAATATTGCCAGCAACAAGCACCCACTGGAGAGTATTATTTCCCTTTTGCTTACATAGATAGGTGTATGTTATTTTCTAATGGCGATTGACACTATTTTTTCTTTAGTTTCCTGCAGCTGCTCAGAACCTAAACCTCTAACAATAAGCCCTCTTCTCAACTGCACACACTGACCTACCAAGTTCCAGGGGCTCCTCCTAAAATTCTATTTCCTCCATGCCCTTTAGTGCATCTAATGAGTGCCAGGCATCGTGCTGGGCACAGAAAGGGAGAAGAAGGGAGAACAAAGTGGTGAAAAGAGATCCCAGTCCTTCCGCAGTTGACAATCTGTCTAGCGCCCCTCCCACCCCACACCTGCACACTCACCTTAACTAGACCAAAAAGAGCATCCTTCCTAGGGATCACACATCTTTAGTAAGAGGACATTTTCTGAGCAGGCAGGAGAGAATCAGGTTGTTTCTCACTGAGAAATCTCTGCAACTCAACTACAGGAAAACAATGGTTAAATAATACATGTGAGTAACTCAGAAAGATTAGGGCAATTCACAAGCCAAAGTCAGTCCTGCAAGTGCATTTTTAAAAAAGTTTGAGGGAAAAAAGAAGACATTACATTGAGCACGTCCAATGCCTATTATATTTGTCCAAATCTTTCCTTTGGCTTCTCCTTTAGGGACCAACACTGAACCAGACCCCCTCTTTCATAAATATCCTTGGGGGTGGAGAAAGTTGAGCTCACCAGATCCCAGCTTGCTTCAGGTGGCCTCCAGGGGCTCAGCCTGGAGCCTCACATGAAGAGGAGTTTCCAAGATCAAATCCCTAATTAGCTCCACAAAGAGAAAACCATGAACAATTTGTGCACTTGGTGGTATTTACTTCTTTCTTCTAATAAACTGCCTTTTGGGAAGAGAGTTGTCATAAGGGCAAATCAATCATTTCCGTGCGATTAAAATCATTACAGTGGGGAGGACAGTTTTGCTCAAAGGCTGCCCCACTACTTTAACCCATTGCTTGGTCTCCTATGACAGCTGCATGGTCTATGCTAAAGGAAAAGAGAACAGAACCAGTAAGGAATCAAAGATGCAGCTTCCCACCAAAATCCTGTGATCCACTGGGCAGAAAATATATTTGATGACTGTGTATGAATAAGTAGGTAGAAGTCTGAATAATTTTGTTTTCCGAGTTCCTTTATGTCAATGCATTTTTTTCCCAAAGCCTTTTTCCCCTCTAGGGTCCCACATTCCTAAATGTTCATTGTCGAGCAGACAAAATGTCTGGTGAGATGGACTCTCATTTTCCAGGCCTCCACACACATTTTTACGCAGGCTGGGAGTGTCTCTGATGGTGGAACCAGCCAGATTATGCATGCCAGGATATAGCCACTTTCTAGAAAGTCAAGTTGACTGTTCCCAGTGACCTTGACCTACCTGGATCATGGTGTCACCCTGGTGGTGGCAGAGACTTGGGCAAAGAAATGAGGCTCCCCATGCCTTAGAGGGCTGGCCAGTCAGCTTAGCTTTACCTAATCACCACAACTGCCATCACCCCAGTCCCGGCCTCTCTGAGAGTCTGGGAACATTAGCAGTGGAAACACCACTGGTTGGCTCCAGCTGGGTGTCCCAGCAAACAAACCTAAAGTGTGAGTTTGGCCCAGTGCAGGCCACACACACTGTTCCATATCTGGGCCCAGATATCCACGCTTTAAGAGGCCTCCTCCATTGTGACTACCACTCGCCTGGGGCTGGGGCTCAGCGCTGACCCGGCATAACTGCCAGGGACTGGACAATGGGCACATCTGTCCTTTCTCCAAGGGATGAAAGCACCTAACGGGACACGGCTCTGCCTTTTGTTTAGGATTTTTTTCCCCATTCTTTTGTAAATGAAAGAAAGCCACGGCATGTGGCAGCCGGGTGTGTGTCTCACACTACGGGCCTCTGCACGCGTCCCTACCAGGCCTAGGAAACAGGTTCGATTCCGGATTGAAGCGTGACTGTAGAAAAGGCACAATTACACCTGAAGCTGAATTGATTTTCAAGTCTGGAGGCTTCGCTCGGGGACGCCGGGAAAGAGGCGTCCCTACGGTGCCAGTGGAGACCCGCGCGCCCGCAACCACCCTGGCTGCGTCACTGCTTCTCGCAAGCAGCAGTGTGAGTGCTTTACCAGGAGAGCCAAGGAGCAGCCTCAGGTACTGCCCAAGCCTCGGTAGCCCCATCAGCACCCGGAAGTTAACGTGGGAACCCACCAGGACCCTCCCTCCCGTCCCCCACCCTACATGCGGAGTCATTGGCTAAGCGGCGCGCCGCCTTAATTATGAGCTGAGCGGGAGAAGGACCCAGGCGGCTGGGACAGCGAGGTACGACCGATATCGGGACTGTTGGCACCGAGTGCTTGGCTCCCAGGGCATAGATGAGGAAGGGTGGGCAGAGGGGTATCCGGGAGGGCGGAGGGTGCCGCATCAGCGCGACCAAGCTGAACCAGGCCCTGACGATTTTTGCGCCCTCTCTCCCCACCCCCAGAGGCCTAGCATTTAAGGGTAAAGAAAGCTCCGACTCCCGGCAGCCCTCCGGGAAATAAAGCTTAGTGGGCCAGGGCAGAAGGGGTGATGACTGTGTCACTCCGGTCACTGCGGCAACCTGCACCGGGAAGCAGCCGCTGGGGAGAGGGGCGATGGCTTGCAGGGCTAGCGCGCCAACCGTGAGAGAAGCTCGGCAGGGGAAGGAGGGAGCCCACCTAGCGGGGGAGGCGAGTCTCCCGGGAAGGGGACGGCGGTCCCGGGTCGAGCCCAGCGCTAGTCCTTCGCACGTGCCCGCAGCTCCGGGGCCATCTGGAGCCGCTGGGAAGACTCCGGGCCCCCTCCTTCATTTGTACCGGGACGTCACCGGCCTGG